GGAGGGGGATTTGTGAGGGGGTGGCTGGGGGTCTCCGGTGGTGACAGCCCCTCGAGCTCTGGGCTGTTTGCTCGGTGTGCCTGGCTTGGTTCCTGTGCGGCAGCGCTTGGCTTCAGAGACTCGTGGCTGGAAAGAGCCACCCTGCCAATGCGTGGCCACTCAGCCAAGAAATTGCCACCTTTCAGCTCCAGCTAGGGATGGTGTTCAAGAAAGAAGGATCCATGAAGAGGTCCTCAATGGCTGTATTTCTTTATAATGCAGATGTAGGTTAAATGGCCATTTATAAACGTGGATATACCAATAGAGCTTAATGTACCTTGGGCACAGAACGCAGCACTGAGTCCTTCAGACAGAGTTCCACGGGGATGGGAGCACCCCATGCCATCGTTTTGGGGAACACTTTCCCCAGAGTGTAGACTCAGATGCCTCAGAGAACTGGAGACCATTAGCTACAGAACAGTGGTAGCTTGGTCACGAAGAGATGAAACCCAGGAATGTTCACAGCTGTGCATCTTCCAACCACCCGGCACTTCTGTACCCAGTGCCTGATTCTGAGGGGTGTACAGGCTCATGATGAGCCAGCATGGGAAGTTTTGCTTTATCCTCTCATTCCAAAGAAAAATCAATGTACTTTTGATCCCACTCAGAAGAATACCCACAGGCACACAACCTTGCCACCCAGAATAACTATAGAAGATGTTTTCCAATCTGCTAACATTTCCTGATCTCCCACATTTCAGAGCCAGTTCCGGCAGCACACTACTGTGCATTAATGCCTCCAGCCTGTCTGGGCACCCAAGCACCAGCATCATTCCTGTTTTACATGGGGCTCACACAAAGCAGGTGATTTCTCTGGGCTCACACAGTTCTCTGGCAGAATGGGGAACGAATCTACAAAGCCATAAGGAAGAGCAGAAGCTTCAGCCTGACTTTTGTTTGCCTGTGTCACCCTGTTTTTATTGCTCCTATTTTGACATTCCAGTTGTTTCTTCAGACCCTTAGGGGTTTCTTTAATGTCACCAAAGCTGTTTATATGGACTGATCTGGAAAATTTTCCATCACAACACCCATTTTAGAGAGGATGAGAGGGGAAAAAGTGAACTGCTTCTGGTTGTCTTTTGCTCATGACTGGAAAAAGACAAGTCGTGAGGGAAGCTGCTCCCCAGGCTTGCCAGCAGCAGCCAGGGAGAAGGGAAGGTTCAGGTGTTCCATGCTCCATCCCAAGCTCCTCGTGGTGGCAATTAAGGAGGCTGGGATTGCTCCAGACCTTGCCTGGAACCTGCAGCACAAGCAGGAAGAGCAGCAGTTGGACTATGAACTGCCCTGGGCCCCACTTCAAAACTCTCACTCTCCAGCCTCAGGGAATATGTACTTTACACCACTCATTTCTGGTTTCCACAGAGAGTTCCCCAGCACTTCCCTTCCCAGGAGAGCCCAGAGAGGCTGAGTGCTCTTTGCACAGCTCCTCTATGCAGGCCCATTGCTGCTCACAGGGCCTGCCTGGGGAACTCCCCGTCTGCTGAAATGCCATTTCTGTTGATATTTGCAGTGATGTAATAAGCCAAACATATCCCCACCAGAGCGTCACCAACTTTACTGGAGTTACTGTTTCCACAAAGTGTAATTAATCTGTGGTGCTCATTGCCATGAGATAGCGGTGGAGTAAAGAGCTCTGAAGGCATTTTAATGGATATCAGGTAGTTATCTTGGTAACAAAACAATCCTGGGTATGATTAAGAGGATATTGCATTGTAAGGATTGTAACACCTCCTAGTTCAGAGTCATTAGTGACTTACGAAAAGCATTCCATTACAATTAGAGGTTTTCTTGTACCTCTGAAGCCGGGGATGCCAGCTGCTGCTGGAGACAGGGCATTAAATGAGGCAGTCTGGCTGCCCTGGGAGGACCAGGCTGCTGCCCTGATCAGCCACACATGCAGCCTGTTGTTTACCCAGCAGCCAAGAGACACAAGAACAACCTTCCCTCTGCTGCCATCATCTTGCTTGAAACCAGGGAGGATTTCCTCTCTGGATCAAAGCAGCACCACAACAGCTGTTGTGTAGAATGGCCTTGAATTCTGCCAAAAAAACATTCTGGGGTGTTCTTTTTTGGAGCATACATTCATTTTGAAGCAATGCTGAGTGAACTAAGGTTGTTTCATGTGTTTGCTCCTTTTTGGGTAACAGTTGATCAGCATGGAGGGAATCTGAACCTCAAACACGTGCAGTCATGCACACTGAATGGGACAAGAGAAATGGTCTTAAGTTGCATCAGGGAAGGTTTTAGGTTGAATATTAGGAAAAATTTCTTCACCAAAAGGCTTGTCAAACACTGAAATAGGCTGCCCAGGGAAGCAATGGAGTCACTGTCCCTGGAGATATTAAAAAATAATATGTGTGGATGTGGCACTTGGGGACATGGCTTAGTGGTGGCTTTGACAACCTTAAAGATCTTTTTCAGTCTAAATAATTCTATAATTCTATGCTAATGGCCTTGTAATTCATTCCTGATGGGGTGTGGATGCTCATCTAACCAATGAGCATTTCTACTAGGGTCCCAGAATAATCCATGGTACCCTGATGTGTTCCAGGACATTTAACATCTTTAACAGGTCACTGTAGCCCTTCCTTGGTGCCACCATTCCATGTGCCACCATTAAAGTTCTAAAGTTCCAAACAGCCTGGCCTTTGTGCTGGGGGCCCTCTGGAGCTCTGCCCATCACCGTGGGAGCAGCAGAAGCAGGTGAGCCAGGAGAGAATGAGCCTTTGTGGATGGAGCAAGAGGGTCAGCTTCAAACCTGCAGACTCCAGATGCCCAAGCAAGGGCTGAGGGGAGAAACATCTAGGTAGGGTTGTTTCCAGCCTGCAGGGTTGGAAAGCCAATACCAGCTGCTAAGGAGATTTTGTCTCCAAAATCAGCTGGTTTTTGAGAGAAAGTTGGGGTTTCCCACCATGTCCCATCACTGAGGGCTGCTCAGTGATAACTTCTGCTTCAGAGCATCATTGCTCCAGTTTACTTTAAGCCTCTCTTGGCAGAGGCCCACGTGTTTTGAGATATTTTGCAACACTGCTCAAGTGCTGGAGGTTTAACTGTTTGGGCAGTGTAACACACAAGCCAAGGCAGGAAGGCAAAGGAGGAAAATAAAGACTTGTGGATTTCCAAAGCTGTGTTTCTTCCTTCCTGCTTTTGTTTGCTTGTGTGGTGCCCAAAAGGGCAATGGATATTCCCAGAGTTGTGGGAATACTGTTTCTTTTCCGGTTCAGTGTTTCCAGTAAGCACTTCGCTATAAATGGGGTTAAGACTAACAAAAGTTTATTGTTAAATCCCTGTGTCTTTGTTTAGCTCCTGTCATGATCATAATTAGCATTTTCCACTTCTGCAAGCCTGTCATCTGCAGAGCTGAAAGTGCTTTAAAATATTTGAAGCATCTAACAGGGGGAGGGAGTATTAATAGCTCCATTTAACAGATGGGCAAACTGACACATAAAAGCAGCAAGTGCCCTGTCCTTGAAGCAGGGCCAGAGCCAGAAAGTAGTCAGCTCCAACTACAAAGTTTTGAAAGTGGGTCAAAAAAATAAAGAGGAAGGCTGTAGATGTGTCCCAGTTTGGAAAATGATGGGAAATAGTTCTAGTAGCAGTGGTACTCAGCCCAGATGGACCAGACAGATGAATTTCTGGATGAGCTACTGCTTATATGGTTAAGTGGCTCATCTCTTGATTTCTGTTCTGCTAACATTTGTCCCTGGGACAAAGGGAAAAACACAGTCCACGATGTTCCAAAATAGTCAGAAAGCTGAAACAGCTGCTAAAATAAGCAAGTGTCCTGTTGGCTGGGCTCTACAGGTCAGGGGATTGCAAAGCACCCACAGATGTTGAGGCCACAGAGGAAATGTCTTTGGGCAGGGCTTGGGGACAGCAGGAGGAGGCTCAGCTGTGCACAAACAGCAGAGACCCAAGGAGCTGGACACAGACCCAGCAAAGCAGCCAGAACCAGATTAAACTTCCCCTTCCACCTCAGAGAAGCTGATATGGGAGTTTCACTTCTTTAAAGGGCACCAGAGCTGCAAACACCAATATTCATTTATAGTCTGGAGGCAGCTGCTGGTCCCTGCAGTGCCCTGAGTTGTCTCAGTTCTCCCAGCACCTGTGGGAGGGCAAAGAAAGAAGAAAAACCAAAGAGGACTTCTCTGTGCAGCCCAGCTAGACTTTCCTTGTGCTCTAACACAACAGATAAGTCTATTATCCATGCACAAACCCTCCTGAGGAGGTGCCATATGAACACAACATCCCACAGCCCCTGGGCTGGTGTCTCCACCAATCCAGGCTCCATGTGAGTCTGCTGGGCAGCCCCTGCCACCCCTCTGCTACCCTGGTCACAGAGAGTGGGAAGAGCAGCTGAGCTTTATGCTTCCCAAAACAAGCACAGATAATGTTTTCTTACTTTTTTTTTTTCTCCTTCTTCTTTCCCAGAAGCTGTTGTCCTGCTGTGCATGAAGCGTGTTTGAAGTCATGTCCAGAAGGAAAGTGCTCTAAATCAGGTAGGGACTCACACTATGGCTGATAAAGCTTTTATTCACAGGGAAATATTGCAAACAGAAATGGGTTTTTTCCTTCCTGTAGCATCGAGTCACTTGACCTCCCTCTGTATTCTATGAATTACTAGATGCTAGAAGGCTGCTGAGAGGAGAAATAATACCAACAATTCCACCATAATGACTTTCCTGCTGTATTATCCATACCCACAGCCATGTCCTTGTAGCAAGCCACATTGCAGCTGTGGCTCCAAGCAGCCCCAGTGCCAGCTGTGCCCCACGGCCTCTCCCTGGCCACGTGCTGTGCAAATCCTGCTGAAGGCTGCCCACATGCAGGAATGCTGTTTGCCTCTACAGAACAATGTAAGAGTTCTGTTCTGCATGTAGAGTCAGCCCAGCAAGATCCAGGGAACCTCCAAAGCTCAACCCTTCATGGCTCCTGCAGAAATGGCAAATCCTCTCTGTGGCTTCACTTGTGGCTCCTGCACTCAGAGCAGCCCCTCTGTCCTCAGATCAGGTCACTGCTTTCCCTTGTTCCTGTGCTGTCCCTTGCACAGAGCTTCCAGAGTTGTTTTGTGTGAGCTGTGCAGTGCAGGATCTCAGGACTCTTTGGTGCACACAGACATCCCTCCTCTCACAGTTCTCTCAGAGCACCTCATCTCTTGCATCCAGCATTTTCCCTACGTATGCTGGAGACACCCCATGTCCTTCTATGCCCAGGCTGCGCTTCAGCAAACCATGAAATACTTGGCAATTGATTTTATTAGGAGCTTTCCCTTTCCTGAGACTGCAGCTGGCAACAATCACTGAGCATTCCCAGTGCTGCAGGCACGTCTCAAGCACCACTTCAGCCCAGGTTTAGATGTCACATCCCTGGGGACTTAGGCAGAAAGATTTACCCTTCCTGCAGGAAGGATCAGGAGCTGCTGTCACCTGACACAGATATAAGGAAATGTTGCATCTGTCACAGAAACCTTCAGCAAAGGAGGTGTGCAGTGCTTTCCCTGCCCAGACAGGGGCCATCCAAAGGGGATCCTGATTCCTTTGGGCAGCAGCAGCCAGGGTGGGGTCCCAGCAGTGGCTGTCTGTGCAGTGGAGCAGACACACAGGGCAGCCAGCTCCAGGGAGCAGAGCTAAGCCTGGGTTTGCTAATCAGCTTCATTCTGTACAGACACTCTTATGAGGTGCCCTGGTTATTTTTAGGCATCACTGGGAGCTGCCAGAGCTCTTGCACCCCAGCCTTTCTCTCAGCCCCTTACACTGCTCTGAGTCAGGAGGACTCTTTGGATGCTGGATGCAAATTCCTGTGGGATTCTGCAAGTCTCACTGAGGCAGAGCCAAGGCAGGTGGCTCTCAGCTTCAGGCACCCTGTGCTAAGCAGAGCTTCCCCAAGCAAAGCCTCCTGCAGCAGCAGCAGCCAAACCTGCCCAGTTACAGCCCTCACAACTGCTCTTCCAAGCTCAGCTCCCCTCCCCAGTCATGCTTCCCCACAGCAGCAGAGCTCAGCTCCTCAGATGACAAAGAAGAGCTGGACTAAATAGCTCTATTTCATTTTAGGCATAAAAATGAGGCCTCATCCTTCCTTACCTCTGTCCTTGTAGAAAGGTCTCCCTCAACCCAGAAACCACCAAAGGCTGCTGTGGCTTTGCCTTCCTCTTATGTGTGACAAGGGCAGCTGTGCTAGAAAACAGCCCCAGCTGCATCTCCTCAGTGCTTGTTTGACTTGTCCTTGCCCAGGGAAGCCTGCAAGGTACTGGGGAGCTTGTGCTGGGGTGGAGCATCCCTGGGCCAGGAATTCAAGTGGGGTTTTAGAAGGTGATGTTCACTCAGAGGTCAGTGCCTCAGTGTGATCAGCTCTTCTGAGCTGTGGGGCTACAGGGGATTCTCCAGCCTTTGAGGTGGGATCCAATTGGACTTTTCTTCAAGAACAATCTGGAGGAAGGCAGGAACCCAGGCCAGAAGGGGATCCCCATTGCACAGGGGTTTACCCCATGGCCCGGGTGTGATAGGGTGACCACGTATCACAACACACATACCATCCGTGGCATGTGCCTGCCACAGCAGCTCTGGGACTTCTGTAGCTGAAGGGTCACTGCTCTGTGCTTTGTCTGCTTTGTAACTTCAGGCACTAGCAGATCTTCCACACAGTTGTTTGTGAAAAAATATGTTGACACATAAAGACAACTAAGTAAAAAGTTGTGAGAAAATAAAAGTAATGGAGAAGAGACTCATAGAGACTCCTAAAGGCTTTGAAAGGGTCCCTGCAGGGGACAGGGGGTCCTGTGGGTGCCCATGGCTGCTCTGGGTGAACAGCAGGGATTTGGCTCTCTTCCCTCTGCCCCAGAGCTGTGTCCATCCAGTGAGAACCTGCCTTGAGGGGGTAAAAAATGGGCAGGGAGAAAGGTGTCAGCCTGCCATGTCCTGAGGGCCTGCTGGGGCTGAGCCTTGTCCCTGCTGTCAGCCATCCCTCACAGGGATGTGTGTCTGTCAGAGCTGGGGGCAAACCAGAGTGCCCTGGTTCATTAGCACCTTGGAGCTGAGAGATGGGAAAAACAAGCTCGACCTGGGAACAAAACAAAAATACAACTGCTGTCACGGCAACTGTCTCCAGATGCACAAAGAGACCAATTATTTCCATTAATCAACTTAGCTAGAAGCTGAAGAAGAGGCTTAAGCTCGGTAGTGAGGGGAGGGAGGAGCAGTGGGGCTCCATCAAACAGTGATTCTTCCTGTGGTGGAGGATTTTTGGAGCAGATCCTCAGCACCTGTGCCTTGTGGGGACTGACAGAAGGGTGCTGCCTGCCCCAGGCATGGGGATGGAGGCTGGCAGCACTGCATGGCCTGGGCACTGGGCGGATGGATGGATGGATGGATGGATGGATGGATGGATGGATGGACAGGCAGCTCTCTCCCACCATCATCCTGATGCTAACAGGAGGCCACTGGGGCTGAGCAATGCCCTCCTGCCTCCCTCGAGCTCCCCTTCTCCCCTGGGGATCAGAGCAGAGCACACAAGGACTTGCCCTACCCTGATGCTGAGGGTCAGCTGCGATTTTGAAATGCAGCTGCAGCATTTCTTATGTCAGTGGGGAGCTGGGCAGTGGCTGTGAGGATGTGGGACAGCAGGAGGTGCCTTGGGACACTGGGGGGCTGTGGGGATGTGCTGAAGGCCAGAAGGGAGGGGAAGGAGTCTGGGGAGCTTGGCAGAGCTAAATACAAAGTTTGTGAAGTCACACAAGAGTCAGTCTAAGCCTAATCTTAAACATGGGGCTTAGCAATTGGTTATCAGTTCTACAGGCGTTAAATGATCTTTATACTGTAAAACCAGGCCAAATGAAAAGAAGGGATCTATTTGTGGACACTGAACCTCAGCTGTAGCTGCTCTCCTCCTAAAGGAATTAAAATTTTCCAGCAAGTTATAGAGAATGCTGGAAGCTCTGTTCCTGCAGAACCATTGCAGTGGCTGGAGTAGCTGTGATGTCTCTCCTGGCAAAATTTATCATGTTTAGTTAAGAGCCTGAGGGTGCAGAGTTATTACAAGGAATCCCACAGCAAAAACCTTCCATAAATACAGATGTGCCAGACACAACTTGATGTCTCTTCCTCACTGAAGCCTGGTGAGGGCTGAAGGCTTTTCTGTGCTATTCTCTCCTGGACAGAAGCTGCTCATGAGATGCACACATGTGCCCTGGCAGGAATTCAGGCTGCTGCCCTGCTCCTGCCTGTTTTCTCACCAAACCAGGACACTCAGAGCTCAGCAGTTTGGAGCACAGCAGTTCAGGCCAGTAAGACCCATCACCCCCACTTTGTGGAGAACACAGAGCCAGCAGGACAGCAGGGGAGCTCTGTGCCTGGTGCAGACCCTGCCACCAGCCTTACACAGCTCTCAACAGGAGCATCTTCATCCTTCAGCTCAGTTTCTGGCCACGGATCTGAGCTCTAGTGCATGGGGGCCCTGAGACATAGCAAGGCCTTTATGGCACAATCACAAAATACCCCAATAACACCATTACAGAGCCCTTCTTTGATGCATAACCCCTCACGCATGTTCCCAGACAAGACCCAGTGGAAAATTTGCTGAAATTCCAGCTGGACGTTGTCAGATAGTTGGTGGAAACCCCCTGACCTCAAGTGCTGGCTTCAGCCCTGCGGGATATTTTTTTCCCCTCTCTGGATGTGACTCTCCCAGCAGGAAACCTCACAGCGAACCCACAGGGAGCACAGAAATCCCGGTGCTTCCATCTTTGTGCTCTACCAGGCCCCCCTCTTCAGTAAACCATCCTACACTGTAAATATTTTAAAAGCCCAGCAGGGCTGTTGAGTATGTTTTGCTGTTGTTATGGATCCAGCCCCAGCAGGAGAGGTCTAATAATAGTCCCTGTACCCTGGGATGAAAGGGCAAGGGGCACTGCACAATATGGAGAGCTCCGAGGCGACTGCACCGCTTCGTGCCTTGGTGGTGGGATGTGATGCTTGAGCAGAAAAAGCGGTCAGATCCCCGTTCCCCAGCAGAACTTTGGGGTTTCACCCCAGAAACGTGGCAAGGTTTTGTTCAGCTTTGGGGCTTTACAACTCCAGAAGTTTGGGGAGTGCTAAATCCGCCGGTTAAACCCACCAAGCCGGAGGGAGAGCGTGTCCTGGGCTGGGATGTGGGATGAGGGAACCATCTCCAACCAAAACCTGCAGCTCTTGGTCCCAACTGGCAGTGGACAGCATGAGGCCAAAGTTGGGCTGCAGTACCTCGGGACAGGACTCTGCCAGGGCTCTTGACACTGGGAATTCCTGCAGCAGGCACAGGGAAGGCTGAGGTACAGGGCTCCCTGCCTCAGACATCAACACAGAGGGCAGGGCTGTGCTGACTGCCTGAAGGGACAAGGATGTCCTAGCAGGGGTCTGATCCACCTCCTGCCTCAGGGATCTGTGCAGAGAACAAGGGGAGGAGGAGGAGAACATTGGGAAAGGTGAGAGGTTAAGGGGCAGAGCAGGAGGCACAAAGCAGGCAGGGGGGGAAATGGGTGAGTTCAGCCCAGCCTGCTGATAGCCAGCACCGGCACCCAAAAATAGCCCTTCCTAGCCATAAAAAGTTTAACCTAGACAAGGGACAGATGCAGTATCATGTGGAGGGTTTCCTTGAAACTGGTGTCAGGGCTGGGTGTGATGGTAGCATCCACCGATCCCAGGGATCAGCCCTGGGCACTGGCTGGGGTGGCAGAGCCTGGACAGAGCCCTGTGCTGAGGGTGACCTGCCAGGTGTGCCCAGGTCACTTCTCTGCCACTCCTATGTTGTTTGCTGTAGTCCCTGGTGTGTGTACTGAGAAGCAGACAAGGGGGACACTGGAATTAAATGCAGGTTTGTCAGTGGATGGGTCATGGAGCTGAGCCACAAAAAATGCCTCAGCTTATTCTACCAAAAGGGAGAGGAAACATAAAACCTTTTAATTTCTTAGCACCCACCTTCTAAGTGGGCAAAACTCAGCCCCAGAATGAGTAGGGCTGGTTTAGCTGCAGCCCCCAGAGTGGAGCCAGCTGCTCTGTCAGCTGCTGGGTGATTTCCCTGGAAAATGCCAGCAAGCCCAGTCACAATCCAACAGCAAAACCACTCAGGAAACCAAGTCCCCACCAGCAAAGCCAAGACTATTACAGCTCAGATTCTTTAGTACTCACAAGACACTACAGAAAAATAAGTCCAAAGCAAACAGCAGGCTTGGCAGATCCAAGGACAGGAGCTGAGGCAGCTCTGGGGACATACCTGGTGTCAGTGGCAGCTTGTGAGGGGCTTCTTCACTTGTGGGCAGCTGCCCTGGGACAGGCAGCACCATGTCCCCATGGCAGAGGGGACAGCCTCCCTGCAAGCAGCAAATTTTTTGAGGAATGTGCAACAGGCAGCAGATCCCAGCTTCCCAGCCCCATCCCTGTGCTGAGGGTACAGGGACTGTCTCTGTTACCATCAGCAGCAGAGAGGAAAGGGAGGGCAGGAAAGGACCCTCTGGGGACCAGCTGAGTCACCTCTGTGAAGCACCCTGGACACCTTTGTGCACTCTGTGTGTGTGCCGTGGGATTATTCCTGCAACAGCAGGCCCATCACCCTGCCCACGGGAGAATGAAAAACCAAAGGTGGTGAGCCAGCAGGTGATGCACCTCCCTTTGCACCCCTGCCACCCCTAAGGGACTGTCCACAGTGACACTGAACTATGAACTAAGAGGGAAGGTGGTTCCTTTGCAGTCCCTGGAAGATGTTAAAAGCAGTTACCGAGTGAAAACCCACAGATCTGTGGGTTCTGTGCCTGGAAATATGGAATGCTGTTTGAAAAATCAGATTTTCCTGTCACAATCGAGGCAACTGCTCCCACCACCCTCTCAGCCCAACAACTTCCCGGAGGTGGGGGCTGGAATCTCTCTGTCAACGGGGAGGGATCTGCCTGCAAGGTTTTTGAGAGCCACCCACCTTGAAAATCCCGGAGGAATTGCTCAAATATGAAAGCTTCGCTGTTAAATCTGCCTGTCTCCAGCTCTTTGCATGGAAAGCCGAAGGCAGGAACCCTCCCAGCCACGGAAATAAATAAATCACATGCGCCATCTCCCGGCCACCAAGTCGGGACCCAGACCTACACACTTGCTGCATTCTTCTTTTTAATCAGGAGGATCCCATCCTGTTCCCGTGTGAGAGGAAAAAATTACTTGGCACAGCACTTCCACTGCTACATCAAGGGACACCAGAAAAATGCTGCGTCCCAGAGGCTGGCTCCTGCTCCCCAGTTTGGGGAAACCTGGTGCTCCTGCCCCTGGTACGAGGACAGCAGGACTCCGGAGCATATCAGCTCTGGAATGGCCTCACTGAGTGGAGATGGACCTGGGCTTGTCGGGCTCACTTCTAGGGAAGCCTCCCGAGTCCATATGACACCTCTGGCAGCTGTAGAAGGTCAGCAGAGTCTGGGCTCCAGTGACCTGTGAGAACTTGTCTGGGAATGATCGATGCTTGTCCTGTCCTGGAGAAAAGGCACTTGGCTCGCTGAGCTCATCCAGCCACTGCATCCAGAGTAGGTGCCTTATCCCAGGAAGGGCGTACCAGGGATGGAAGGAGGGAGGATGAGGAAAAACATCTGGGGCATTTCTTCCTGCAGCAAAGGATGCAGCTTTTCCCAGGGCTCATTTAACAGGAGCTAGATGGGTGCCAAGTCTGGAGATGAGGCAGGCATTCACAAGAGTTGTTGGCTTTGGGGAAACAGAATCTCCTGCAAGATCTGGGTGGGCCAAGCCCCACATCCCAGCAGTGAGCTGGTGGCAGCACTCCCTGAGCTGGCATCTCTACCAAAACATGCTGGGTTTCCATGGGGTTTTGGTTACTGCACCCAACTCAGCTCAGGAACAGAGAGAACCTAACCTATCTCAGTTACTGCATCTTCACCTACATATCCTTTCCACTGCCATAACACTGGGGATTAGAGTGAGGACTGTGATTCCTGTTCAGGCTGGTGCCTGAATCTACCAACAGATTTCCCTGGAAAAGAAATCAATATCAAGCAGGATTTGTAAAGGAAGCTGAGCAAACTCCTCTGTGGGTCATTAACTCCAAGGCACAAAAGCGAGTGAATGTGCATTAAATGTGCATGGATTTGTTTTCACTGCACACGAGCGTTTCTAATCGGGACCTGCTCCAAGCACTGCCAGCAATCAACAGGGCTAAAGGCACATTTTACAGTGATCAGAATCACAGATAAGGCAGCAATTAATCTCTTGATTCCACACAGAAAAACAAACTAAGTGCCAAACAGAGTGTGCAGTGGCAGGAACTGAGAGCTCCAGGTTTCCCGTGCAGGGGCAGTGTGTGCTTGCCAGCTCTGTGCCCAGGAGCCAGGATGCCCACAACACCACACTCTGTGTGCTGTGCAAGCGCTGGCAAGGGAAACCAGCAGCCGAAATGAAAACCCAGCAACTTAAGGATTCATCAGCTGAACTCAGAGCTGGCTCGCAGCAGAGCTCACATGTGACAAGTGGCCGCTGCGGGCCTTTCTTCGTGCTGTGCACTTGGCACTGGCACAAGTCTGGAGTGAAGGGATCCAAATGTCTCACAGAAGGGCTGATTTTCACATGGTAAAAGCGTTTATCTCACAGCAGTCCAGCCCAACGCTTCTTCAGTGACACCCAACAGCCAGAGGAGGCCAGTACTGCTCCAAGCCCTGTACCTATAAAATACTCCCTGCTCCCACAACTTTCCAATGGGTATCCATCATTTCCCATTACAAATTCAGGTTGGATCACCACCCCATCCCCCAAGCAGTGAACCAAATTTGGCCTGTGTTCAAAGCTCCCGAGGCATTTTGAGGAGGAACTAGGGCTTTCTGTAGTGCCTTTTCTGTAGGGAAAAGCTGCAGCAAGCAAGCTTGTGCACCTAAAGGAGAAGGCTGGAAACTCAAAGGAGAGACAAATGCTGTGTCTGCCTTTGCAGTGGGAAGGCAGGACAAGTCAGGCATCTGGGATGGATCCTTCCTGCCTTCCTGCCCTCACCTGGCACTGTGGGTCACCCAGGTCTCCCCACACGTTGCCCCACATGAGGGAGGTGATACCTGACATTCCAGTACCTGCTGTCAGAGGAGCTGGAGCAGACACAGGGGCTGTTTTCTGTAATGTTACCCCACAGAGTAACCTGACCTGGAGGGAGCCATGACTCGAGCCACACTGAGCATCCTGGGCCTCACAGCTGTGTTTTCTCCGCAGCATTTTGCAAGTGAATAGAGATGCAATGGAGGTAGAGTCCAGCACCTACACCGACTTCATTTCCTGCGACCGGGCTGGCCGGAGGAACGCTGTCCATGACATCCAGCGAGAGGCAACCACCATCAGCATGCGCAAGCTGACCGAGGACATGGGTGACCTCGCTGTTGAGGGAGCAGGTGAGCTGCCCTGCACACACCCAGCCCAGCAGCTCCTGGCACAGCCCGGGAGGGCAGGCACAAAAGGGCAGCACAAATGACCAGTGCTGTCTCCAGGAGCATCACACTGATGCTCAGGAGGGACATCCCATTCCTCACTGCTTCAGTCAGTGTCCTCATGCTCATGGATGCTCAGGTAGTGGGAGACTCTCCAGGTCAAGGGGTGCTTGCAGAGAGCAGAATGATCCCTGGTTCCTGGCACAGGAGCACAGCACGCTCCAGCCCAGGCCCTTTGCTCACTGGTGCTTAAACAATACTGCTTCACTGACCAAGACCCTTCCCAGAGCAAGTTACACATCAGTTATACCTTAGGCTTTTTAAAAATCATGTATTGGGCAGGCTGTGGTTTGTTTTTATTTTGTTGGTTGGTTGTAAAAAAAAATCAACCTTTGAGCAGTTCAGCAGTATTTCAAATAACAACGGAAATAATTTTCACATCAGCAGCCATCTCCAAATCCTCCCTTTCAGCCCAAATGTGGCAGCAGTGTCACCCTGCTCAGTGTCAGCTGGCCAGCTGGCTGCGAGGAGCCTGAATCCTCTGTCCAAACCTGCCACTCTCATTTCACTAATGAGCAACACAACACAATCTTTGCAGAAGGGAAACTCAGTTTTTCCCCATTGCTTTCTTAATCCTCTAGCCTACAACCTGTAACTATAAAAACACTTTAAAATACATTCATTACCCCAACTGTACTTCTTTCAGCATGACCAGACCAGCATGTGTTTGTCCACCCATCCATAGTAAGTACAAACTGGAGCTGCTCTACCAGAGTGCTGCTCAGGCGGCTGCCAGGCTGTCAGGAGGACAGTTCTGGAGCACTTGAAAGTTGGGTGGATGCACATCCCTACCTTGAGGCTCCCTCCCAGCATTGCCAGGCGTTTTGAGAAGTGTTTGTACTCCAGGAATGTGAAGGCAGAACCCAATACTCGTAATCATAGAATCATAAAAAATGGTTTGGTTTGGAAGGGACCTTAAAAACTACCTGCCATGGGCAGGGACACCTTCCACTAGACCTCACAGTCTAATCCAGCCTGGCCTTGAACACTCCCATGGATGAGGCCAAGTGTCTGGTCCACGGAGGGGAGTGATAGGTCTTCAGGTGAACATCTTTCATCTTTCTGGATGAAATCAGCTGTAGCAATCACTGATGGCTTGTGTCCTCACCAGGGTGTAACTGTGTTTTCTTCCCAATCCTCCCTTCTGCAGAAAGCCAAAGAGATGCCAGTTCTTCTGACAACGACCCTGGAGCAAGACCAAAGGGACAAGAAAGCAGCCCGTCCCCCTGAGAGCAAAATGGGGGTGGGATGGGCAGGAGGAGGGCCTTGCTGTGAACATTAAACAAGAATTGGTTGAATCTGTGGACAAAAGCCAACCTGGAACAGTAAGTCGTCTGTCAAATGCCTCTGCTGGAACCGTGCTTGTGTAGAGAGACACAAGACTCTTGCAAGGACTGGCACCTCCAAAAGACTTCTGCCCCCATCCCTAATGGTTTAGAGCAACACTGCCGTGGCTGTAGTGATATGAGCCATTCTCGAGATGCCTTAGCTGCAATTTTCTCTTAGGGGAAAAACAGTTTCAGTAATAATAGACACACCACATTTTCCTGTCCAAGGTACCTTCCTCCTTTGTAGATTTAGACTATTATTTATTCTGTTTCCAGAGATTAGAAATTTAGATTATTGTTTTTTCTAAGCCTCACCCTCATCTACATATTAGACCTGGCCTCTGGATTGTCCACATGGCCTCTCGTCAGGGTGGGCAGCAGGGAAAGGACCCAACCTGTCCTGCTGCCCTCATGTCAACACCACTCACCTGTGCTGCTGCTGCTGCTGCTTAGCATCAGGAAAGGACCAAAGCACAGCTCTGTGGGGATGAGCCTCACCTGGAGACCCAGCAGCACCAGCCACAGGCATCTCTTTCTCTGGGCTTTAACACTTCAAGATGTTCTTAAGGGGAGGGGAGGAACATTTTGCTGGTTTGACTGTTGACATTCAGGCTTAACTTTGCAAGCTGTTAGCTGAGATGATCTCTGGTAGGATCTCACCCCCTTCTCTTTAAGGAGACATGTTTTGTGTTAAAGATGGTTTGATAAAACTACAGAAGCTGTTGGAATAAATGACATAGCCTTCAAGTCCTGAAGGTGTTTTTTTCTGCCTGGATGTTTCTTCCTTTGTTTTGCCTTTGGCTGTGGGGTGATTTCATAGGAAGACACGGAGCTGTGCAAGATTTCCCTGAGTCTGGGTCCATGAAACCCTTGGGATGCAGCTCACAGATGGAGGCAGATGTAGATAGGCACAGATTATAAAAGTCTGCCCCCACTTTCCCAGGTTTACTGCCCAGGCACCAGCAGGATTGGTGCCAGTGGGAAGAGGTGTTTTCCCTCTGCAGCACAGAACTGCAGGAGCATTGCTGGTGTTTCACTGATCCCAGTGGAGCAGCCTGACTGGGACTGAGCACCAGCACAAGGACAGGGCAGAGCTGACCTGAGAAACTCTCCACTGGTGACACAAGGGCAAGCATCTCCCTGACAGCCTAAGGATGAACTGAATGAACTGAGATTTATCAGCCAAAACAAGGCCATAAATCAGCAGAGAAGTGGCTGCCAGGCGGAGGGAAAATTGTCTGTGAGAAGTGATGTCCATGGGGTGAGCACAGAGGTTTCCACAGCTCCAGCCCCCACAGGAAATGAGGATTTGGCAGGCAGGCAGTGGCCGTGGCTGCTGCTTTGGCAAAAGGCTCCTGGAGTGGCTGGGTATCATTGCAGAGCCCTGCCTGGACAGCAGCCAAGAGCCTGCTCCCACTTCCCGTGCCCGGGGGCAAACCAGCAGGTAGCTCCTGGACCTGGCTGACTGCACAGTTGTGTCTTTAAGCCCCATTTCCAGCTCTTCTTACCAAAGAACAACAATTTTGGCTCATGCTGACACACACACACAAAGAGCTGAAAGGCAGTGCAGAAAAGCTGAGCACCACACAAGAACTCCAAGAATCAAATGTGGGCTAATCTTAGCTCTCCCTGGTCAGAAAATATCTGTTTCAGAATTATATTTAGGCAGAGGAGTAGGGACCTGTTGGCCAGCTTCTCTCAGGGGATGGGTGAGAGGCATCAAGTTCCCCCTGCAAGTGGCAGCCAGCTCAGCCACTGTCACTGAAAGACCAAGGGCATTGCCTTAATCCAGCCACATCCTGATCTGCAAAGCTGCTGGGCACAGGGATGCTCCAAGCCCCTCTTTTCAGCTGAACATAGCCATCCCAGACTTGTTAAAGTCTAACCAAGCACTAAATGACCCAAAAACCTTTGGGCAAATACTCCCCTGCCCACACTGATGGTGTAGCCCAGCAGCCCAGACTGCCCCTCTTGGCTCTGAGCATCAACCAAAAACCCAGGAGACAGGGAAAAAAAGTGACTACTTTTGATAAACACCTGGAAAAGTGAGAGTACCCCATGATGGCATTGCTGCTCTAGTGGTGTGCACCTCTTGGATTAGTGAAGGGAAAAGCAAAGGGGAGTTTGGAACAACCTGCAGCCATAAATCCAAGTTGGCTGTTTGGCAAGGGAGCAGGCTTCCCTCTGGCTGCCAAAGTGCTCCAGCCTGGCAGCAGGAGAAGGCAGCAATCGAGATACCAAAGCCCCCATCACACTCATCAATGAACCTCTGTGGTCTAGCAGGGCTCGAGGACCACATGCCAGTCTGAACAGTCAGCCCTGAACAGAAAGGCACAAGGATTTCATTTTTAATATAAATTTGTTATTTTATTAAACAGGATTAACAATCAACTGTCCAGAATCCAAACAAGCAACTCTTCTTCAGAAATTATTTTTGGAGAAAAATGACCCCAAAAAGGCCTGTTTCTTGCCACAATCATGTCCCTTAAAGTGATACTTTATATTTCGCTTTATAAAAGTAAGAAAATCACTCTCTCATCTTCATTTACCTATCTATGCACCACATACTTCAGAGACAAGTGTTTTACTCTGAAGACCAATACGGAAGCCCAGAAAGAATGGAAATACTCCCAGCACACCATCACTGCTGGCTGAGACTGGACCAGCCCATGGTCTGTCTGTGGCAATGGTGACCATGGCTCCTGGTCAAAGGCAACTTTTTGGTACAGTATCTTTGGAGTGAGCTTCTTGGCAAAGCCCTGGGATGCTAAAGCACACCACACTCAGGTAAGAAAACAATGGTCTCTTCTCTGGATGCACAGCTCTATTGCTTACTGAGTAAAAACACTATAATGCCATAAAATCATTAAGGAATTTTTGGTGAGTTTCTCTGTATAAACTCTCCACCAAACTGAAGATCTGATTTCTAGCCAGTGTCATAATTGAGTAAGAGAAGCAGTCAGATGGGCCCTGAGTCAATGTGTGACATGGGGTCCAAGTTAATTTACTTATTCAGCCTTAAGAGTGCTTAATGATTGTGTCAAATCAGGAGGGCAGAATTTTTAAACCAGGCAATCAATCACGTTTTTTCCAAGTCCTAAACAAAGATAAGAGGAAGATCAAACTGCAGTTCACAGGAGTTCTCCAAGATGAGTAAAAAAGTGGGAAAAATCACAGAAGGCAGATTTTGGCCCAATGTGGTAAAATTATGTTCCAACTTCCTATGTGTGTGAGCATGGTCATGGCCAGCTGTGAGCACAGCTGGGGCCTGAGCCCAAGGTGTGCACTTCTGCAGCAGTGACATGGGAAGAGGCCTGACACAGGGGAGCTCTTGTCCAAGAAAGGATGCCAAAAAAATTGTATTTTGTTTTAAATGCCCTTTGGACCTGTGCAGGGGCAGGAGCACCAACTTGCAGCTTGTTAGTACAAGACTAACCCTGGGTAAATATAGCTGTGACCAAACCCTCCCACTCACAGGGACAAGAATAAAGCCTCTGTGTCTGAAAAGAGTGCTCTCTCCCTGCTAGCACTAGCACATCTCTTCCCTGGAAAGGTGAAGATTAACCCAGGCCACAGCCAGAGTTGAAAGTGGTTATTTCAGCACTGCAGGCAAGGGCCAGGCAGGTCAGTGGGGCAGGACAGGTAAAACAGGGAAAGAGCAGGGGAAAAAAACGTAGGGGAGGTTTTTCTGTTTGCATTTGCAGTACAGAAACACCAGCAGATGGAGAAGGGAGTCAGGCCAGCAGGCAGAGCCAGTCTGCTTGCACAACAGCAGGACAGGAAGCTGGATATCCATTCAGGAGAGAGTTTGTGGGGTACAAGTAGGTGTATGTGATAGTCTGATTCTGGTGAGCACTGTAAGGGTCAACACAGGGCTGCCAGGAATAGAGACTGACTCTGGGCACCTCCTGCCAGTGCTCCCTCTGGCACAGAGCAGAGTCAGGCACTCGTCAAGGAGGGCCCTGCTCCACGCTGGCTCCCAGGGACGGGTCACGATGCATTGGGGACCATCCCATAGGCTTCGTACAGCTTGTTGAGCAGCTCCTGCTTTTCCTTCTCGGGTAAGAAGCTGGACTGGGCTGCATTGATGTTCTGAGGAGGCAGAGGGGGAACACAGGAACATTAAGACACATCAGACATGAACACATAGTTGTGCACATCCCAGCACCTGGCTCTGAGCAGCAGCAGGTGAGAGAGAGTATAAAGTTTCTGCTCTCAGATTCATTTCCATGGCCTTATTTTATGCCAACTGCTCTGGCCCATCACTAGCAGCAGTCCCAGGAGAAATGAGACCAGCACAAAGCAAAGGTCTTTAAATACTCTGGAATTTTTGGGATATGTACTTTGAGTCTGAACCTACTTTCCTTCTTACGAGGCCAGAGCAGAATTTTTGGGTTTCCATTAAAAACTCAAAGCTCATGAAGAAAAACCAGCAGGTTGTTCTGGGCTGCACTGAGACACCAGCAGAACCCCCAGCCAAGGCCAACTTACGACTCTCTTGAATTCCTCTTCAGTGAATCCCATGTGTTCCTTCACAATGCCATAGTCCTTGTCAATGGTGGAGTTGAAGATGAGGGGGTCATCTGTGTTTAGAGAATAGTTGGCACGATCCTTCTTAAACCTGTAATGAAATCAGGTTGAACTGATGGGCAGAACACTGGGTGTGATACTGTGCAGTTCTCAGGGTGAAATGCAGCAAAAGCAAAGACCTCGGGGCTGTCTCTGCAGCTGGCACTGCTGGAGAAAAGCACACAGGGTTCAGCTTGTCTCCCACATGACCCTGCACTGACCTGCCAGCAGTGGCTGGGGTGCAGCATCTCATGCCCCATAACTCAGAGCAGGGCAGGAGGGACAGGACAGCCTCCCCAAGGGACCTCCACACCCCTCCAGCTGCACCAGGCTCTCCCGTGCCAAAGGGCACGAATGTGCCACATTGTCCTACAAAATTAGATGTGCCTTAGCTTTGCAAAGCAATAAACAAGCTGTGATCAACCCAAATCCTGGTTATTTGAGATTTCACATAATTGAGAAGTCTTACTGTATTACAGGGTGTTTGGTGAAGTCCGGAGAACATGCTCCAGTGAGATAACTGGACCAAGGGCAGACCTGTTTTGGGGAGTTAAGCATGAAAAGCAGAATCAACCACATGGATCTAAACCCCAGCTGTGGACACAGATAACTGGTAACGTCAGATTAGAGCTCTGTTCACAGCTGCCCCTCAGCACTACCCTGACAGACCATGGACATGTTCCAGGATGTGAGGAGCCCACAGCCCACATGACAGTGGCAGGGGCCAGTGGGATGTTACCCATGGCCAGTCAGTCTCCAGCCCAGTGCCAATCACAGTAACAAAACCACTTGCATTAAGTACCTATTCCTTCTATTGGTTGGATATGGCCATTCTGGGGAAAAGCAAAAGAAATCCTTACATGCACTCTAACTCCCAGGCATTTCCTCTAACCAGACTTGCTCTGGTACAGCAGCCTGATTTGTGGAAGGACAAGCCTTCAGGCCTGAGGTGTATAAATCAGTGAATAAGGTCTCCAGAATGTATCCTTGGCCACACAAGGATCCTTTCTTTCTGCTACATCCCTCCTACAAGCTGCTGTGCACACCAGTGCTCCCAGCAGCACATCCCAACACAGACAGGTTTATCCCCAGTGTTTTTCCTGTGGAGCTTTGGGCATCTGGGTTAAACACATCACTGTACATGTGATCAGCATGTGGGTGTCAGGTCCTATCCCTGGCTGCAGCACAGCCCGAGTGA